CGACGGGCGGCTCGGCGTCACGGGCGGACTTACGAGACGGGGCCGTGGCAGCGGCAGGCCGCGGCCTCCAGCAGCCGGGGGGGCGCCACTTCTTTGCAAAGGTAATGATGCGCGTCCGCCGTCAGCCGGTAGTGACCGTCGATCAGGGATGCGAAGGAGAGCGCTTCGGCCAGACCGGGGAACTCCAGCTCCTGCCAAATCAATCAGCCGGTGACGGGGGAAAAACGCAAGACGCACCGCTCTCGCCCTCGGGCGAGTCACGTTCGTCCGACCGCCGAGGTGAGCGCATCTCAAGTCGCCCCCGATGCGTGAGGAGCGGCGTTACGTCGGGCCGCGGGATTCGGGTGACTCGGTCCTGTTTTTCAAACGGCATCCGCCGTGCAGAAGCGCAAAACGCCATCACCCCGTTCCTCGGCGGGTGCGACTTCATCCTCACAAAAGGGCCAGGCGGGACTCTTAGTCGCCCAGCAACCAAGGTGGATTTGAAATGCGGTCGCTCCAAGGGCGGCGCGGCGCGGCGCGGCGCGATTACCAGGTTGTTGCCGTCCCGCTTGCTGATGGTGACCAGGCGGCTCTCGGAGGCGGCCTCCTTGCCGGCCTGTTTGACGCTAATGTCGACCACTTCCGGAAAGTCGCACACCGTCTGCGGCTCCTGCAAACAGAGGGAGGAGTCCAGACCGGACGGACAAATCATGGAGGGGGGGACAACTTGAAAAGTCACAGACGGCTGGCGGCAAAGCGGATCGTTTAGCCGACTGGCATAGCGCAATCTGGAAAGCTCAACTTTCGCAAGTTGACAAACATTTTGGGGGAAGAAGAGAAATTTAAAAAAAAGTCGGGCTTATGTTTTTCTGGATTCTGTTTCGTCAGATAGAAAGAATTGTTTTCAAAAAGCTTTTTTCTGCATTTCTTCAAAAGAAAAAAAAGAACGCGGAATGAATTGCTCGACGATGACGATTCAAATATCGCCCCGACGAGATGCGCAAAGTCAAGCGAGGCAGCGGCAAAACACGCCCGCGCGCACGTCGACGTCCGAGGAGCGGCGAGGCGCGCCAACCTGGGGAGAATCTTTGGCGGCGGGGCGACACCACTGGACGCCGGTGTCGGCGGCCACCAGCAGGACCAGCCGGGCGCCGCCGGACGGCTCGCGCACGCGGAAGCTCTCCGTGTAGAAGGCCTTCTCCAGCGCCTCCATGCTGATCAGGTACTTGAGCTTGAGGTCGCGGGCGCTGGCGCCGAAGCGGCCGAAGCGCTCCACGAAGCGCTTGAAGCGCAAGCGGATGCGCTTGCGCGTCAGGAAGCCGCGCCGCTCGATCTGCGCCCGCAGGCCCTTGGGCAGGAACGACTTGTAGCTGCGTGCGAAGCCGAGGAGGCGCCCGTTAACACGGAGAGCGCGGCCGGGACCGACACCCCCCCACCCCTCCCCACCCGGCATGGGCTCACCTTGTGGCGCGGTAGACGTCCAGCGGCGCCATCTCTTTCTCCTTGGCGGTCCGCATCATGTCCAGCACGGCCAGACCGAGGCACTCCTCCTGCGTCTCGTGCGAGTCGGAGAGCTCCACCGAGCC